ACGAGAAGAGAGGGAGCAGGAGAAGGAATACAATGACGGTGCGAGCCACGAGAGTGCAGAAAGAAGATAGAGATGGAAGGTACGGTAAATCTTAAGTTTCAAGTGTATGTTTAGGATGAATGTGGAATTGTGACTGTAGATTTGGGAAATATAGGTATCGATTAGGAAATGGAGGAGAAAACAGTGATACATGGAATAGGCAAGTGGAAATAGACGGGAAATGTGAAAATGAAAGATGAGGGGAGGTATATGGTGGAGGCTGCGGGAGGAAAGAGAAAGAGGAGTTCGGTGAGTGAGTGAGTTCCGTGAGAGAGAAAAACTCTGTGATTAAAAATGTGTAAGGGAAGTTGTAGGGAGATGATGTGAATAGATGTGATTGGCGACGGACAGAAGCGCACGGAATGAGGTAAGTGAAGGGAGGTGAGAAAGGTGTGGAGAGAGGAGCGGTTAGGGACAGAATAGGCCAAGAAAAGTAGTAGAGGGGGAGCTGACAGTGGAGGATAGGAAAGGTAGGGGGCTGTGAGAGTTGATACATCTAGTAGGAAAGGATGAAAAGCCGAGGCTATTTGGGGAGGAGTGAAGGCAGGGATAGAGAGTGTGTTGAGTGCTAACAGAGAAGGTAGGCATGGGGGTGGAGTGTGTGTATTCTGAAAATTAGGGAGTGGGAAAGGGAGGCCTGTAGCGGGTGTGTGTGAGAGATTAGAATGGAGGTGTATTGGTGTGGATGTGTTGTGTGTGGGTGTGAGTTGCATGTACATATAGGTTGGTATAGCTGCTGTAAATTTAGGAATTTGGTAAATGAGCATTAAGTGTAGGGGTGTACTTGTAACAGCCCCGGAAATTCATAATGGAATGTATATTAAAAATATCAAATACGGAAGCGAAGTCAAAGTTTGAATAACATCCCTTACACTAAAACCAAAACGTGCTCACAAAAATATAAAAGATTAAACTACCTAAAGGAGAAACTTGAAAGTAAAAACTACGAATGTGACTATAGAGTCCTTAGGCATCCCCTTCGTCGTCCTCCTGCGGAAGCGGCTCGGGAACGATGTCCTCTTGATCTGAAATGATTAAATAAGGAATGAGCTACACTAGCCCAGTAAAGACATCACGATATCTCACCGTCACGGAGGTAAAGGTGGGTAGAAAACACAAAAAGACCAATGGAGCATAATTTACAACAAATCCTTTTATCGATAATAAAACCTTTACCATTTACTTACCTCGGTGAAATTCATAAAACGATATACGAAAGCAATAACATCATCATCATCATGAAAACATATATATGAACTGTATAACATAATACCTATCACACTTTTCGTAATTCAATCGTTACACAACATATTTTCCTAATTCACCAGCCCACTAGTATCCATGGGGATCCATAGGGGTCCCGCTACCCGTTAATCCTTAACACTTGAAATCATATTCCAGGGCCGTCCCCATACCCCGTCCGGTATGGGCGCCAAACCATAGACCTCACTACCCCGTCCGGTATGAGGGTGAAACGGGCCGTCCCCATACCCCGTCCGGTATGGGCGCCAAAACACATAAGATCTCCATACCCCATCCGATATGGGAGACCACAATCCCGGTAGGGTTCCCTACGGACCCGGTCCGTCCACCATCTCCCAGGATATCTAGTCAGGCTGAACACATTATACAATTTCCATTCACATAATCTTTCATTCTCCTTTTTCCCTCAGTCAGCATTATCAATCACATACAAACACGCAAAACGATAATTTATGCCAAACAGACAACATACAGCATCAATATCCCGGTCATTCAATCCATAATCAATAAAACAGTAAATTATGCACACAAAACTATAAAATGAAAACATTGAACCTCATGCTGCATTTAAAACTGTAAAACAGGCCAAATAACAGTTAACCGACAAACACACTAGACTCGGGCTCCATTAGCGACCTTAAGCAATTTCACACATTCGTTGATTCACGAAATACCGTTTTATCATTTATTGGACTTTAAAACTGTGATAGGAAATAGGGTGAGGGGTCCTTACACGGCTTCACAATGCGCTTGCAGGCTGTCCCTAATTTTTCTTAAATTTTTCTCGGGGAACCGAAACGCACTACTGGTACCGGCGGCGGCGCTCTCGGGTGCGGCGGCCCTCCGACGAGGTTCGTGTTTTGGTGATTCGGCTCCGGTCAACCTCGATCGGCGGTCGGAAGTTCCTCCGGTGCGGCGGCGGGTGGCGGCGGCTGGCTTCTGGTTCGTCTTCTCCGGCGAGCGGCAGGCGACTCGGGTTTGTGGTCTGGTGTGAGGGTTCTATTTATAACCCCTTGCCCTTTGATCTCAGCCGTCCATTTTGTTTTAATCTGGGCCGTCCGTTTTTGATTAAATCTGGGCCGTCCATGCGATTAAATCTGGGTCGTCCGATCGCCCGCTTGATCTGGGCCGTCCGATCGCGCCCACGCGGATCGCCAATGTGGCCCTTTTGGAACGACGTGGTATTGTCACGTGGCAGGTCCTGGTTGGCCGGGACTGCTGACCGGGCCTGCTAACGTGGCTGCTGACGTGGCATTTGTTTTTGTTTTTTGTTTTTTTTTTCCTCCTCCTTTCCGGGTGCTACAGTACTGGTGTATGAGTGCTAAGTGTGAGTGTATGTCGTATGGGAAGATGTAGGTAGGTCCTGTACACATGTTAAAAGTATAGGAGAGCCTCAGAACAATGTTGTGGTATAGGAACGGTTTTGAAGGGTATACTAGTAAGAGGAAAAATCAAGTATGTGAATCTATTGGGCAATTTTAGTAATAACTGGATGAGATTGTCTTTGAGGTGGTTACGCTGGGAGGACGCCGATATTGGTTGTCGCTATCTAAAAAGAGTAAGTTGATCACCGATGGTGGTGATAGTTGGGGGTCTTCGGCGGGTAAGGCGTTGGGTCGCTGATATTGATGACAAGAGAAAATAGTATTGGTGTGTGTGTGTGGCCTGTTAGGGGTCGAGAGATAGAAGGTTCATTGATGGTCGCCGATATTGATGACGGATGTGAATATTTGTACAGTTGAGTGGCCTAACCCGGGTCGAGGGGGTGATGTTGGAGGACGGTCACATCTAACATGAGTGACACTTAAAATACCGGAGGATAGGTATTAATCCTATGTAGTTAAATGGTACTAAGAAAGTGTGACTTAGGCTACGAAAATGGGAAACATATAAAAATAGGGTTTTAAATTGGTTTTCATATGATACTTGTAATTTAATTTTTACTGTACTGAGTTATATTTCCTCATTCTTTATTATTCACAGATGAAGTAGGGATGGAGTCAGGATCAGAGTTGCCGATTTTCAATCCTAGCGTATAGTGAAACATTGCAAGGATTTCTACTAGTAGAATTGAGTGTGTAAAAAGTTAGTAGTAGTGTAGGTTGTGTGTCTGCTGAGAATGTATGAGATTGTATTTCACTGTAATGTCACATTTATGGTTGAAGGTTTATATTTGACATTGAGCAATAGATTGTGATAGTTTCTTTTCTATGTATGCGACTGATTTGCAGTGAGTTTTTAGTATTTGATCATTGAGTTATTTGAGACTATGCCATTAAAAAAAAAACGGGGCGTTACATTGCATCAATTTACTTACATAATCTTCAATAATTTTAATCATTAAATTATCACATCTTTGTTAGTATAATGGTTCGAGTTGATTGGTTAAATGAACGATTGAGTTTTTTATTTCTAAAATATTATTACTATAGTTTATTTGTTCAGAAATATATAAGAATCAACATTCTATAACTCATTCTAAATGGTTAAAACCGTATTATTGTTTCAAAAGTAATTCTATTCCAAGTTCACCAAAATATATTGTACGTTGACTTGAATCTATTTATATGAAAACAATTAGTATTTAACGTAAACAACATAATGTTTCTGTAAGAGAGTTGACAATTCAAATTCAAGTTCTCTTTTCTACTATTATTTTTCAAAAAAATGAATCACACAGGTGAAAAATCACTCTAAATCAAAAGGCAGGCAAGCTTTAAAATAAAAACCTAAATTCCCTAACTATAGATCAGACTATGAGGTATTAAAGAAAGCAAAAATTGATCAATCATTTTTTTTATTTTAAAAAATAACTTAATATAAAGCTTTTATTGATACAAAATTACATAATTAAAAATACATTATCACGCAATAATTTAAAAAGTATCTATAGTCGATACACATTTATTTAAATTCTATAATTATTCACTGAGAAATTAGTACCAAAATTCATTTAATTATATTGAAGTAAGAAGCAAATCGGTGATACCCTTCACTGTAACCTTACCATTTAAAGTAAATGCATCTTCTTCTTTGTAAAGCTCATCTATTACTCTTGTGTAGTTGAGAATACACTTAAGCAAACACATAGGCACCGGAGGTGTTGGCATGAGCAATTGTTCGTTTATATCTTTCCATGCGTCCACAACTTGTTTCTCAAATTCCTCATACGTCTCTTGTACCGTCACATCATGTTCCTTCATGTAACTTTCAACAGCTGATGTTACGTGTCCTCTCTCTTGCTCTTTCTATATATATAAACACAGTAGAAGGTGCCAAAAAATTAATTTCTTTTACGATTAATAATTTTTTAAGGTTAAGAAATTATGAATTTAGAGTGTTAAGAGATGTTAGAAATGGAGCATAAGTTATTCACTAATAATGTTACATATGTGTGACAAGATTATGTCAAAAGAAATTGATTGATTGAGGCCTCTATACAAATTATTCACAAGCTCACAATTTTTATTTTATTGAGATATATCCATTAACCTAAACAGAACGGGACAGGTTTCACCAAAAATTTGCACAGTGCAAATAAAATTATTTTCTAATAAACCTGTCAAAAGTTTAAAGTCGTTTCAGAATAATGTATTTTATACTAAGATAAGTTTGATTTTAACAAAAATTCATTCTATACCCGCTTCATTATCATATCAACTTTAGAACAATAGTCAAAAAGAATAAATTTGACTAATTTATTAAATTAATAACAACAAAAAATAGGCTTAATAGTGGTAACATACTATAAATTTAATTAGTTAGGCAAAATTATTTTTTCATACTGTTCTTTAAAGTATTCAAATATGAAATAATTATTTTTTTTCCCGTTAGAAAGTAGAAGAAAACTGGATAGTTAGGAGATCAAACAATGTTAGGAACTAAATTTACTAGTTAATAAAATGGTAGTATGTCAAGTTTACCCTAATATATGTAGTTAATTTTGTTTTAACAGAATTTGGTAAGAGTAAAATTAGTAATCTTTTTTTTCCTTAACATAAATTTATATACATATAATACATACATACATACCGTGTGGGAGACAGTATCATCCATAAGCCTGCAAACAGTTGCAGAAGCCATAACAATTTTTGGATTAGCAGATACCCAATCAAGAATTTCCTTCGTTGCAATATCTCCCATTAACGCAAAAGTAGATGTAATAAGCATGGGGTAACCACTTGAAATTGCTGCAGTCTCCATATATTCTTCCATGGTTGGGGTGTAATTTTTATTGTACCACCTTGCTTCCGTTAAGTAGACTTGGGCTTGCTTCTTAATCTACACATTAATTAATTAATAAATAACATTAAATTTGCCTAATTTCGTATACGTAAAAATTATAAAAAAAAAAAAAGAAACGATAAACTTAGCCAAAAAAATAAATGAGAGTTTTGAATTTCAATCTCAATTGACGCTTTTGGAGCAAATAAAGAAATGATTAATTGAATGTGTAAACACATACCTTTTCTTTTATGTAATCAGCTCGATGTGCACTTCCTCTTTTAGTCATCTCTTGCTCCACTTCCTCGTAAAAGTTTAAAAGAATCCAATGGACAAATTTTATATATTTCGGAAGTTTATCTAAATTTTCGCTATCCCACCTATGAGATTAATTATAAAGATTAGATATTATTTGTACTATATATAAAACAATATTAGTTTTTATATATGATCAACATTAAAGTTTTAAACTATAAATATATATGGATAGAAATTTTAACAAACCTCTCAATCATATCTGTAAGAATTTCAAGCTCTTCCAGCACACCATATGCATCATATACATCATCTAAAATTGCTGTTATAGAAATCAATTTAACAATTGCTTTTCTTACATAAGCATATTGAGGTTCAAAACACACTCCCAAAATCCAAAGATAACACTCTGGTAATCTATGTCGTGCGAAAGGTGCATTGGTTGTAATGTCCAATTTATTCCACCACCTATCACATAAAATTATAAAAATATATAAATTTATTTATTTTTTTGAAAAATTAAATATTTAATCATGCTAGAAATGTATAAAAATTATCAATATATAAATTTAGATTTACCTTATGAGTTCACTAAGCTCCTTTTTGTGTAAAGATTGTAAGTAATTAAAATCTAACTTAGCAAAGTTCAATAGCATTTCATTATGTGAAGGATTTTGTTGGTAAATGGAAATGTATCTCTTGGCCTCAAGCCTCATTACGGCCTTGCGAATTGGTCGATATAAGGACTTTGCTACTTGTTCTGCAAAATGATTACTTAAACTAACATTCTTCAAGGCCAAGTTAAGATGAGTGGTAGTGAAAATCAGTGCTTCCTCTAGTATGTCTTCTCCATGCACTCGCAAATGGGAAGCTTCATGTAGTTCTAACATTCCCACAAGATTGCTAGTCAAGGACATTTTGAAGCTTTCATTTTCATCTTTAAACTTATTAAACACTCCTGCTCAATTCACCACAAGTCCACATATCGGTTAATTGTTATATAAGATAATATACTTTTAAACGAAAATAATCACACATATATATGTGCACATGCAAGAATTTTTCAACTGTATAAAAAGAAAAATAAGAAATTGTATAAGAAAATTAAATAAAAAAACAAAATTGATTTTTTCAAAAAGTGTTTTCTTAAAAAGTGGTATAATTAGATAGTATTTCGAAAACTATTCTCACATATAAATGGAACAACACATGAACTTATATATAAAACAACGTAAGCATTGTGAATTAAACTTTATACTATGTAAACATGATAAATTTAAACAATCCAAGATAGTATAAAAGAAATTAATTTATTATTTATGTTATATTTTTGAACTTCAGCAATATCAGTCTTATACAAATGATCATAAAGAATTTGGTGTCTTCTTGTTAGAAGGAAAATAGAGAAGTTTTAAAGTATAAGAAAATAAATTAAAGCATGAAAAACATACCACATGAAATTCTATAGCCTTGTTGTCTAAGTAATCGAAAGTGGAGAGAAGTGATATAAAGATCATCATCATCATCATAATCAAGTTTAGTAGCATCATGAATTTGCTTCAAGATTCCATCAATCTCGTTTTCAAAATGGTAAGATATACCCAGTTGTTGAAGTGCATCAATAAAGATAAGTTGTTCATGCAATGGCTTGTCAACAATACCCATTACCATCTGCTTCACTTCTTCTTTCCATTTGTTATACTTTATTTCTCCATCATGTTCCTTAGTTGAATTCAAGGAGAAAAATAGAATAAATACAAATACACATGCATATGAAAAACACGTATGCATAAACACATATAAAGATAGATATTACAAATATAAGTAAATTTACCAGAATTCCTATGGAATCATATGAGAGAAAAAAATCATCCCAATGATTGGGTTGAAAGTTTCCACTAGGACGTTTTTTCTCAGTTGATTTGATACTTTGAGCTTCTGCTAAATCAACCTGATCAAGAGACATATTTTCTTTATTAGAAAACTATATTTGGTTATGTGTGTTTGTATATCTATATGTATATATATATATATATATTTTTGAAAACAAAGTAACATGTGATTCTTGTATTAAACACGTGACGAAATTAAATTTTTTAATTTGTTTGAAAACATAAACAATCGCAGTACTAGAATCAGTTGGTCCCATTTTTCTCTACATGTCGGTTTCTAATAAATTTAAACAAAATTTTGTGGCCTCCATAATTTTTCAGTTTACAAATTCAAAATTTTATGAATATAAAATATATGTTTTGTGAGATAATTGGTGAACAGAATGATTAGATATTATTTATTTACCAGATGTCAAGAACTTTATAAATCCAAATACTACAATAAAAACTTTGTGTTACTTCGATTTTTAAAAAATATTCTAATAATAAATAGATATTAGATTATCGTTTCTCCAAATTTATTAGCCTAATAAATTAGTCTCACGGCCCATAAATATATAATATTCGTATATTATATCATTTATTATTCATTGCTTAAACCCAAAAAATAAGAACATCAACACAAAAATTAAATAATTAGATTGTCGTATTCTATTTAAAATTTACGAATTATAATATTATTAAAAATATAAAATTTATTATTTTATGAATATATTATAAAATTAAACACGATAATTTTTAATGTTTTATTTGTTAAATTCACTGAATTACAAGCAATTACAACAAGCTAAGTAATTCAACTTCATTTTTTATCTCCTTAAAAAAAAAACAAGAAAACAAAAGAACATGCGTGTATGATATGTTATGTATTACACAATAGATATGTACTATTCTTCTCATATGTAATGTCCAAATTTAATTTAATGTAAATTAAATTAATTTATAAATATAATTTTTTAATTTTAATTTAGTATAAAAATGAAAGAAATTTGATAGAGGATAAAATTAGAAATAATTTTGAAAAAAAGGGCAAAATTTTTTATTTTAAGAGTATTTTTAAAAGAAAAATAAAAAATTAGGGGTCAAAATATAATTTAGGAAAGTTGTGCCATGTGGGATGTCCAGTCAGCAGTCCCGACGAACCAAGATACACTGTGTGGCAACGGACACTGACGTGGTGCCACGCAAGAGGCCATGCGAGCGATTCACGTGCCCGCGATCGAATGGCCCAGATTCGACCTCGCGCGCAAGGACAGCTCGGATCTGTTTCCTCCCCAAATGCGATCGGACAGTTAGATTTTGTAACACCCCAATTATTATTATTATTATTATTATTATTATTATTATTATTATTATTATTTCATTTTAATTTTTTTTTGTAATTTTTTTATATGAAAATAATTATTTATTATGTAATAAAATATGGTTTTAATTTAATTTAATTTAATTAAATAGAAATAATAATAATAATAATAATAATAATAAGGGATAAAATTATTTTTGGGATTTAATTGAAAACGATTTTGGAAAAAAAAAAGGTGAAAATTTGGATTCTGATGGTGTTTTTGAAAAGAAAATTGAAAACCGGGAGTCAAAATACAATTTAGAAAATTGTGCCACGTCAACAGCCCGATCAGCAGCCCCGGCCAACCAGGACACACCGCGTGGTAGAGACACTAATGCGAGAGGTCATGCGAAACGGAGTCACGTGGGCGATCCGCGTGCGCGCGATCGAACGGCTGAGGTCCGTTCCCGCACGCACAGACGGCCCAGATAAAAAACGCGCACGGACAGCTCAGATCGCTCACGCACGGATGACCCAGATTGAATCACGTACAGATGGCCCAGATTGCATCACGATGAATGGTCCAGATTCATTTTCTATTTAATCGCGATTGGACGGTCCAGATTAAATCACGATGGATGGCTCATATTAAAAGTAGAAGGTTATAAATAATCTCATTCACACCCAAACCCTAACCCTAGCCGCCAGAGCCTTCGCCGGAGAAGACAGCCCAGCCACCAGGGAACCGACCGCCGCCACCCGCCGCCGCACCGGAGCACTTCTCGACCGCCAATCGAGGTAAAAATTCTCTCCTTGGCTCAAATTTCGATTCTTAACCCACCTGTGGCCAAATAGGAGCCAAAACACCGGCTAATCGGTCGGAAAACACCGCTGAAGCTTAGCTACCATGGGTTTTCTCAGTTTTTGCCTCCGATGAGGCCCTTCCCGATTCCCGTTCAATGTAATTTTTCCACCATTGTGACCATCGTTCCTTCCTCTACAGATTGATTGAAGCAAAATACCAAATCGCGACTCGATCCGGAGGAGCCGCCGCACCGGAGAGCCCCGCCGCCGGTAAGTCTCGATTTTTTATGTTTTTCGACCCACTGAGGGCCTTACGTGTGTTTTCTCGTAGGAACTAGTGCTAGTTTGGCTGAATTCGGCCAGGGTATGATTTTGAGTTATTTGGGGATATGTGCAAGTACTGTAAGCGCGTTTCAGTTCCCGGAAAAAAAATTCAGGAAATCTAGGGGATTTCTCGTAGGCGCAGTGAAAAACCAGTTTTAGACTTCGAATCAAGTAAGGATCCCTCACTCTATTTTCTATCGTGGAATTAAAGTTCTAATAAATAGAAATATCGTATTTTTGTAATTAACAGTCGAGCTTGCGTCCTTGACTCTAGGGGCCATTGGGACAACCATCTACCCCTGATAGAATTTTTCTAGAACAACAGCTATCAAGCGAGCATTGGTATGGCTCCGTATGAGGCGTTATATGGGCGCCCATGCAAATCACCGATTTGTTGGGAAGAAGTGGGCGACAGAAAATTATTCGGTACAGAGTTGGTGGAGGAGACCACGTCTAAGATAGTTAAAATCAGAAAGAACATTCAGACGGCTTAAAGTAAGCATAAGAGTTATGCGGACACCCGGATGAGGGAATTAGCGTTTGAACAAGGCGACCAGGTGTTCCTTAAGATCACTCATTTCAAAGGAATTAGTAGGTTCGGCAGGAGGGAAAAAATGAACCCCTGATTTATTGGACCATATGAAGTATTAGACAGAATTGGTACTGTCGCCTACAGACTAGCACTGTCTCCAGAGCTCTCCAAGGTCCACAATGTGTTCCATGTATCCATACTACGTAAGTACAACCTGGACCCCTCTCATGTCTTGGCTCATGAACCGCTTCCACTCCAAGAGGACTTATCTTATAAGGAAGTACCACTCGGTATCACGGACCAAAAGAGCATAATACTCCATAACCGGAAAATATCATTTGTAAAGGTAGTGTGGCAGAACCACTCGCCAAGGGGATGCTACCTAGGAGCTAGAATCAGACTTTAGAGCCCAGTATCCTCATTTGTTCGACCAAGAGTAAGAGGCAAATTTGGGACATCAAATTTCTTTAAGGGGGGGAGAGTTGTAACACCCAAAATTTTTTTTATTTTATTTTATTTTATTTTATTTTATTTATTTAATTTTATTGGAATTTTATTTAATTTTATTCTATTTTAATAATTAATTTATGAGATTTTAATTTAATTTAATAGAATAAAAATATCAATAATAATAATATATGGTAAAATTATTTTTGGGATTTAATTGAAATTGATTTTGGAAAAAATGGGTGAAAATTTAGATTCTGAGGGTGTTTTTGAAAAGAAAATCGAAACTCGGAGCTCAAAATATAATTTAGAAAAATAGTGCCACGTCAGCAGCCCGGTCAGCAGTCAGCCCGAATCTGATGTATTTTTTGATCAGGTGTTGTTTGATTTATTTTATAGTTTTGAACGCAGTATGGTGCCTGATGTGTTTATTCCATGGTTTCGTATGCATGAATCACGGTTTTATTTATTATGGTTTGAATTATTGTGAACCCGATGTTGTGTTACCTTATTTGGTGTCCATTACTAGTTTACGTGTTTATGTTTGATTGGATAATTGATATTAAGAACAAATAGAAAAATGTATGTGAATTGATAAATGGATAATGTCGACAGCCTGACTAGATATCCTGGGAGATGGTGGACGGACTGGGTCCATAGGGAACCCTATCGGGAACGTGGTCTCTCATATCGGACGGAATATGGAGACTTTATGTGTTTTGGCGCCCATACCGAACGGAGTATGGGGACGACCCATTTCACCCTCATACCGGACGGGGTATTGAGGTTTATGGTTTTGGCGCCCATACCGGACGGGGGTATGGGACGGCCCTGGAATTAAGTTATTAATGTGAATGGTTCACGTGTAGCTGGGACCCCTTATGGATCCCCATGGATACTAGTAGGCTGATAAAGGAGGAAATTTGTTGCTTGATGATTGAAATACAAAAGTATGATATGTGTTATGTTACAGAGTGTGCATGATCTTATAATGTTTATGATGTTATTGTTTCTCATAAGTTATTGTTATGAATCTCACCGAGGTAAGTGGACAGTAAAAGTTTTTATTATTGATAAATGAGTTCGGTATAAATTATGCTCCATTGGTCGTTTTTGTTTTCTACCAACCTTTACTTATGTGACAGTGATAAAAGAGGAAATTTGTTGCCGGATGATTGAAATACAAAAGTATGATATGTATTATGTTACAGAGTGTGCATGATCTTATGATGTTTATGATGTTATAGTTTTTCATAAGTTGTTTTCATGAATCTCACCGAGGTAAGTGGACAGTAAAGGTTTTTATTATTGATAAATGAGTTCGTTATAAATTATGCTCCATTGGTCGTTTTTGTTTTCTACTAACCTTTACTTCTATTACAGTGAGATAGTGTGATGTCCATACTAGGGTAGTGTAGTTCATTCCTTACTTAACCATTTCAGATTAGAAGGACTTGGTTCCCGAGCCCGTTCTGCAGGAAGACGGCGAGTAGAAGCCTAAGAATTTATTAGTTTTTCTTATAGTATTCATTCATAGTATTTCCTTTAGTTAGTTTATTCTTTTATACATTTAATTCGTTTTGCTTATTGTGTAAGAGATGTTAATCATAATCTATTTTATTTCGCTTCCGCACTTAGAATAAATTTATACATTTCCTTTTAATTTTCGGGACCGTTACACGGGATGACATAATTTAATTCTTAA